TTATTATTATTTTTTTTTTTTTTTTTTTTTTTTAAGTTAAAGAAAATGTCATTGCCCAGGTCTTAATGACAATTGACTCGATGTTTATTAAATATGGAGGGCGTTCTTGTGCAATGATTTACGTTTTACACCGACGATGCTTATCTATGATATTTAGTGGTAAGCATTGTATACGAATTACCGCATAATGCACTTTGTCTGCCTTATAATTTTGGAACAGTATTCATTTTTGGTAATTATGAAATTTCTGTTTTTGTATGTAAAGCCGGGCACTAACTGTGCCCAAATAATAACATTTCAAAGTAAATGAATAAATAAATTCATGGAGAACGCAACTGAAGACACACGCGCAGATCGTTTTTAATGACGATCCGTTCAAACTGTCACCGTCTGACTGTCGAACCACAGTCGTATGACCGTCGTAAGACACACTACAAACAACAATTACCTACCTTAATAAAAAAATATATCTAAACGAATTAATAGGTGATAAGATAAACTTGCATTATTATTTCCAACTTATATAAAACTATGTCCATAGATTAGTAAGATAAAGATGTGAAATGTCATAACAATTTTACGATAGGTCTAAATGTATTTGACTTATAGGCCTACATAGTATTACATTTTCTGTTAACCTTCATATATAATATTATTTGATTTGATTCAAAAGTTTGCTTAGTTCCAGGTGTCTTTGCTCAGTCTAGATCCGTGACTGTAGATCCTGCTACAGAAAAATTGGGTGAAAATGCATTGATAACGTATACATTCACACATGAACCAGGAGAAGATTTGGATTACTTGGTTTGGTTCAAATGTGATGTAGATGGTGTTAGACAAGGGGATTCTATTATAACTAATATAACTGGAAACCCACAACCAAATGGTAAATACAGCTTAAGTGATAATGGAAGCCTTATTATATCTAACGTTCAAGTAGAGGATGCAGGCTACTACCTGTGTAGGGTAACTACAACAGCTAACTTTGCAGAAGGTTTCTCGAATTTAACAGTCTACCGTGAGTTTTCATATTTTCATGTTATTGTGTATTGTAATACAATAATATGTTTTTTCGGAATAATTAGCATAGGCCTAAGTACAAAGATCTACTGGAATTTATTTATATAACTATAATTTATGTAAGTGTTTTTACATCATTATAGATGTGTATAAGAGA